AGAGTGAATAATTGTTTTAACAGATTGGGCTGTCGCTTTTTGATATCTGATAGATATGTACATTGGTAGGTCTCCTGTAGCTGGCCGAGTCCAGAATTTTTCTGTTGCAGCTTGGGATGATATTTCTGACAGCATTTCGGAAAGAAATGGCAAAGTTGTTACTGATTTCGCTTATTTTCTTTACAGTACTCTCAAAGGCATTTATAATTATACCATCTACTGAATTTTTAACCCTCCCCGTTATTTCGTGCAAGATACGCCATAGATTGTGCGTGTTATTTTTATTGTTATTAATATCGTCTTTGATTTGTTTATTTTTTGCAGCAAGTATTAACTTATTTGCATAATTTCTCGCTCGGTTATATTTTAATTTCAGTATATTGTTTGTCATATCTTCTAACCACTGTAAATATATTTTGTCTCGAAAGTCACAAGCATTTAAGATTTTTTTTGTTTGGCATTGTTAGAGATAGCATAATTGAGTGAGGCAAACAGTCTCAGGGTCGTATTCTAGAACTCTACTCAATGCTCAAGTCAGGATTTTAATTGAAACACACGCACTGGAAATACGACTCTAATGGCAGGGACTTGAGTATTATTTCGAGTGCTTTAAACCATACTCAAATCCTGACTTGAGCATTGAGTAGAGTTCTGGAATACGACCCTCAAAATTCCAAATTTCTCGACAGATATAGGAATTTAAATAAAAGTAATGAATAAATAAAATTATTATAATTTTATTACAGACTACGGCAAGTGCTCAAACTGTTTTCCACCGGCGGCGGCGTCAATATATGCACGGCAACGCCTTAAAAATGACCTTTTCACCAATCGTGCATATCGTCGTAAATTTATCTGTTGTACAGCTTCCGTGATTCTTCGTCGTAATTCGGCAACGTTTGATATCGGTCTTGCATAAACTTTCTTTCAGATAATCCCTGTAAAAAAGTCTAGGGGTTCCAATCTGGAGAACGGGGTGTCAGATCTACTGGAAGACGTGACACTTAGCATATATTACATTCTGGAGCGTCATTTCATATGACTAACAGGAGAGATTGGCTAGATAACTATGTGAAGTTTCAGTAGCCAGTTAAAATATCTTGCGCGAATGGGAGCAGAGTGGATGGTGAAGGCCGAGATGATATTTGTTCGGATGAGTTGAACGTGAGTGTGAAGGGAGCTGTCTATGTGCCGAAGCTAGCTGCGAATCTGTTGAGTGTAAGTACGAGTGAGTCGTAACTTTGTGGTAGTATTTTCGAAGAGAGGTTGTGAATTATACAGGCTTTATATTTGAAAGTGATACATATTAATAGAGTGCGTTACATTCCTGATTCTGAACCCAAAAACTTTAACTTTACAAAAAAATATCGACTACTTGTGAACAACATTACTTATCGAAATCTGTGCACACCACTATTATTGCTCCGACAGACGCGCGGCGGCGAGAACAAAGCACAGGTCGGCACTGTTTGCAGAGACAGTGCACGCGCGACCTTGGCCTAGCGAAGACACGTAAATTATTGGTACTTCCGCTCGCCCGAACACTGCGCCGGCGGCGAACGCGCCTCTCGCCTGCAAAATGGTGCGACTTTACGCGATAAGTGATGATAGTATGAGGCGAGCTATTGAAATGTTCCCAAATTGGAGTTTACGAGGAGGAGGTGAACAGTGTCGAAGTTGTTACATGAGAGGATTATCTCAGCATTTTACACTGTGAGACAAAATGTGTTTGTGTTGATCAATTTACTACGACAAAACAAAATTTACTACGACGTGCTAGACTATGCATTGTGGAAAACGGTGAACATTTTGAACACTTGCTCCGTACCACGTAAATAAACTGTAAATAATTAAAAATCAATCATTGTAAATAATTTGATTTCACATTTATAACTACGCCAAAAACCTCAATTCTTATTAAATGATAATTTAATTATCTTTTTTAGTACGTAAAACAGTTCGATGATAGTTCATAAGTAAAAAATAGTTAACATAAGATAAAACTTAATCATTTCGATAACAGCTTTTTCATCATGACATAGATGAGTAGGTGAGAGAGAGATGTGAAATCATTGTTATTGTAGCTGTCTCACTCGGCTCTCGCTTGGTAGTATTCCCAATGCACTCCAAATCAAGCGTAAAGGGAATCGGTTTATTCCTATGTACACTCCAAAACAAATTTGTTGATTTATTTTTTGTTCTATCCCATATCCTAATTTTATTTTAGTCTATGTTAAGTTGGAAGATGATTTACTAAAACATGCATGAATATGTCTCACTTTAAAATATACGGCCGTATAAAGCTAATGATTGTCAAGTGAGCGGTAAGGTTGAGTTGGTATGTAAGGAACAGAAAGGGATCTATGTAGGGAAACCTAATTCTAATCCTGATTTGCTTTCAGCTTTAAAAACAACTACTGAGGATGAAGTTAAACTATGGCACCGCAGACTTGGACATTTAGCACTTCGCAATATGAAATTACTACGTGACAAACTGGCGAGAGGTAGGTATATATATTCAAAGATTCAAATTCATTACAGTGTGTGTCGTGCTTGAAAGGTAAGCAAACTACATTACCTTTTCCGAAGCAAGAGAGTACACGTGCTACTGAAATTCTTGAATTGGTCCATAGCGACATTTGTGGCCCTATGGAGACTGCTTCATTTGCAGGGTATAGGTATTTCCTGACGTTTTTTGACAATAATTTAAGAAAAACTTTTGTTTATTTTTGGCGGAACAAAACTGAGGTCTATTCTAAGCTGATAGAGTTTAAAACGCTTGCTGAAAATCAGACGGATAAAAAGCTAAAGGCAATTAGGACAGACAACGGGAAAGAATACGTCAATGAAAGCGTAAACACTTTTTTGCGGAATAATGGTATTGTTCATCAGTTGACAGTAGAGTATACACCGCAACAAAATGGAGTGAGTGAACGAGCTAATTGTTCAATTGTGGAACGAGCTAGAAGCATGCTTGTAGAAGCGAAACATAGCATGAAATATTGGGCCGAAGCGGTCAATACCTCAGTGTATCTGAAGAACAGATATCCTACACGGGCTGTAAAAGGGAAGACGCCTGAAGAAGCATGGTCTAACAGAAAGGTTGACCTAAATCATTTGAAGGTTTTCGGCTGCCGGGAGTTTATGCATGTTCCAAAACAGAAGCGTAGAAAATTTGACTCAAAGACAAAAGAATTGCTATTTGTTGGCTACTGTGAAACAACAAAAGGCTATCGTCTTATAGATCCTGTAACGCATGGCTTACACAAAGCGAGAGATGTTGTCTTCTTTGAGAATCAAATAAGAGTTCATGCAAACGACTGTGATGAAATCGTGGAAGTGGTGACATTAGATGACAGCTTCGAGAAACCTATAATGATTCAAGTCGTTAATGCCCCTGAAACTCATCGAGTGGAACAGCATGAAGATTTTTTTGACTGTCAAGATGTTGAACAGCAGTGTATGGAAAACATTGTTGGAAAAGAGTTACAATCAGGTGAAATGAGAAATGAAATTGAAACTGGTAACCCCAATGAAGGAGTGGAAGTTCCTGAATCTGAAGTTCACGATGAAGAAGTTTCTGAACTAAGATTGAAAACCACTTATGATGTTCCTGAAAGAAGATATCCTCTTAGAGTAAGGAAGCCAAAAAAATATAATGATTATATTCTTTATTATATGCAGAAGAGGATATGAAGGAAGATCCTGTATCAGTTGACGAAGCTTTATCCAGACCAGATAGAGATAAATGGCTTAAAGCAATTCAAGAAGAGCTTGATGCAATTAAGAAAAAGCAGACATGGGAGTTAGTAGAAAAGAGTAATGGCTACTTTGTGGATTCTAAATGGATTTTTAGAATAAAAAAGGAACCGGGGAAGATACGGCACAAAGCGAGACTTGTTGCCAGAGGTTTTACCTAAATAAAGGGATTGAACTACAACGAAACTTTTTGCGTCTGTTGTACGTCACAGTACTCTGAAATTACTATTAGCCTTAGCTGTGAAGAATGACTTGAAAGTGGATCAGATGGTATCGTTACTGCGTTCTTGAATGGAGACTTAAAAGAGAATGTGTATATGAAGCAGCCTAAAGGTTTCGAAGTAATTGGTAAAGAAGGACATGTCTGCCTATTGAAGAAGGCTCTTTACGGATTAAAGCAGGCTCCCAGAGAACGGTATGAGAAATTACACAAAGTTTTGTTAGATATGGGTTTCAAGAGATCCGAAAGTGAACCTTGTGTTTATTGTGATATATGTGGATGATATATTAATTTTCTGGAATGATAGGACATCAGTAAAGAAGGAGCTTCAAACTAAATTCGAAATGAGAGACTTAGGCGAAGTAGATGTTTTTATAGGAATGAAGATCAAACAGCAAGGGAACTCCATACAGCTCAACCAATCAGTGTATTTTGAGAAAATACTTAAGAAATTTGGGATGAGTGACTGCAAGAGTGTAAAAACTCCTGTTGAAACTGGGTTCTTCAACCCGTGAAACCAAAAGATGAGAGTTACGTTTCACCAAGTGAAAGTCGATTGGTTCACTGAATTACCTAGCTGTCTGCTTTTACTGCAGTCCTAAATTAAATGTGTTTTTACATAATTTACTTAAGATCTGTTTTATTGTTTCTAATTCGAATGTCCTAGATCTCTGTGAGGTATCCATAAACTCTGGATTTATTCACAAAAAACCATATCTATAATTATCTACATCTAATATATCTATATCTAATATCTAAAATTTGAATTAGTAGAAAGTCAATTTTTAAGTATGATGTATATAATCATACTTTAAAATTGACTTTCTACTAATTCAAATTAAAAAGAAATCATTTTTTGAAATAGTTTTGCGGCCCTGGTGTAAAGTCCTATTTTTCGAGTTACGACAAGATCATTTTCCGGCGTCGCTTTTCTCCAATATGAGATACTAAATATTTTTTAAGATTTGCTTTAAGAATAAAATATTTGTTTTATTGGTCAATGATCACATTTGTAGTGTTCATTTCCAGTGTGAATCATTTCATGACCTTGCAGTCATGTGTTTTATTACAAACCTTTATTGCATATATTACTTGTATTCTTCTACTCACCAGTGTGAGTTTTTATGTGACACCTAAGTTGACATTTTCTTATAAAACATTTGGTGCAAATATCACACTTGAATGGTTTATCACCAGTACGAGTCTTTAAATGATTGTAATAATATTTTTTACAGATAAAAGATTTGTTACAGTGTTCACAATTGTATGGCTTCTCCTCAGAATGACTCATTTCATGCTGGTTGAGTGAATATTTTTTTATAAAGCCTTTATTGCAAACATTACACATGTATGGTTTCTCTCCAGTATGAATCATTATATGACGCTTAAGGTCATGCGTTTTAATAAAACCTTTATTGCAAATGTTACACTGGTATGGTTGCATATTAGAATGTCTCATTTTATGCATATTGAGTTCATATTTCTTTATAAAACCTTTGTTGCATATATTACACTTGTAAGGTTTCTCTCCAGTATGAATCATTTTATGACGCTTCAGTTCATGTATTGTTACAAAACCTTTATTGCAAATATCACACTTGTGTGGTCTCTCTCCAGTATGAGTCATTTTATGACATTTAAGTTCGTGTCTCCTCATAAAACATTTACTGCAAATATCACACTTGTGTGGTCTGTCTCCAGTATGAGATATTAAATGTCTATTGCAATTTGCTTTACTAGTAAAAGATTTGTTACAAAATTCACAATTGTATTGTTTCTTTACAGTGTGAATTGTTTTATGACACCTAAGCTTAAGTTTGTTTGTAAACCCTTTATTGCAGACATCACACTTGTACAGTTGAGCATCATCATTCAACTTACTTAATGTGCTTTGCCCACATGTTGCTTGAGCTACATTAGGAAGCTGCAACACCACTGGGCCTATGACCATTTCTTCCTTGATTTCATGGTTTGCATACAAATCCACCTTAGCGGTTTGTTCTTCATTCGCTAAATCAACTGGCTCCTGTTTGATGTGGACTTTCTTGTATATACCCATTGGGTTGTTCTCCAATTCGATGACCTCTTCCTTAAAGTTCATAATATCTTATAGCTCCATGTGTGACATTGACAAACGATGTAACTGTGACATGCACAAAATATATCATACAGTGTAAGTATTACAAATATTTTTTATTTTTCAGGTTTATTCTGGAATAAAAAGTAATTTGTTAATGTATCACATATTGAACAGATTTTAATGCATTTGTCAATATTGGTCCGGTCAACTGGCCAGAAAAACACTAATACTAAATTTGCCAAATGTAATCCACATCCATACAATGGTTTTCGGCAGATGATAGGATTTTAATCGCCACATTTGGTTATCTTCTTCATCAACTCATATAATATGATCTATTGTAATGCACGGGGCTTATTTAAGGGAAGGTCTAGGCAAATCAGGTTTTACCAAACAAATGATTGTTAAAAATTACTGCACAACATATGGTCGCACTGTTGGCGACCGAATCGGATGTGGTAGGCAAATCTAAGGGTCGTATTCCAGAACTCTACTCAATGCTGAAGTCAGGACTTAAGTATGATTTAAGGCACTAGAAATCATACTCAAGTCGTTGCCATTAGGGTCGTATTTTCAGTGCTTGAAGTCATATTCAAGTCCTGACTTGAGCATTGAGTTGAGTTCTGGAATACGTAGATAAACGTAGATACTCCTGACTTTGATTAATCATGGATTAATTTATGTACCTACATGAAGTAACTTCAGCAACAGTATTTACTTGTTCCAATTTTAGTACATTTACTGTCGTAGTATAAATAAACTATATATTATTTAGGTACTTGTCTTTACAAATAAATAACCAAGAGATAATAGGTACATACCAGAAAAATAAATATTTTTCATTCTTCTTTTTACTTATTGGGCACACTTAGGATTTCGCCAGTATCAGGTATTCCGCTAAGTAATTTTATGAGTTTCAGTAGATTCTGTGGTTTATATAAAGCACGTAATATCTCATAATAGTTTGTGATTTATAGGTTTTCTAATCATTCAACACGACAATAAAGTAAAATTTAAAGTTTAGGTTTTATTTTTACAGTGTTTTTTTTTTCTGGCCATGGAAACAAAGTCCTTCAGCCGAAAACATAAAAATAAGTTTTTCTGTAAATATGGCCGCCACAAAGAGGATAGGCAATTTGAGGCGGCGTGCTTGGATTGACTCGGGATTCCTTAAAACGGGCTGATACGGTTATTTTAGTTCGAGATTCGTATAATTTCGCGTTTTAATCTTCGATTAAGGCACGATAGCATTATCCTATTCCACTTTAAACTAGATTTCACAAAATAATTGAAAGTAAAAATAAAAACAACGCTTTTCCCTCCAAAAGGTCCAGAGCGAATCCCACACAGTGTTACTAACCAGTGTTGCCAGACTAGTTAATTCGCTAATTTATGTATGTTAAGTAGCCGATATTCCCCCAAGCCATAAAATACTTAAATGTCCGCCAGCAATTTCCCTCACGTCGAAATACTCAAACCCCCAAATGAGTCCATTCCCCACAAAAATCTCCTATAAAATTTTTAATTCCCCAGACATTTTATTAAGCAGCCTAAAATCGCCTTTTCCTATTTCCAAACAATGAAACCTAAGTTATCTTATTTAGTAAACTTAGCAATTCAAACGTTGAAAGTCCAGTTTATAGATATTTAATCGGTTTTAACAAATTATAATCTTTAAAATGTAAACTTTATAAATATAGCTAGTAAACGATTCAAAAAGATAAATAATGGTATGTTTGCTACCGCTAAAACGTAGTGGTTATATGCTCAGTGGCTACCGCGGTTGCGCAGAGAGTGACGATGGAAAGAAACAAAATCAGAATGCGAGGTAAAATGGAACAATTTTAAATTTAAATATGAGTAGAAGAAGAAAAAACGATACGATACGAATGGAGAGAGGCGATACAAAAAGGTGGGATGACGTTTTAAGGAGGTCACACCGTCACAATTATGGAATCAAATTAAAGTAAATGAAGCACTGAAGAGCATTCGGCTTTGACAGCTATAACTATAATTTGTCAGTGTTTTTGTAAACAAATAAAGTCTTTAAAAAAAATTGTCTATTATGACCCTCTGTGCAGCAGTTGATTGCAAAAATACGGGAATACATTTATTCCCCAAAGATCCAAAAAGAACTAAACTGTGCGAATAAAGATCTTCGAAGGAAAAAAATTAAAGGTTATTAATTCGTTGAGGTTATGTGCGTCTCAATTTAAACCTGAAGATAGGTTAGGCCGAAATTTTGCAAAACAAATATCATGTATTCCTTTTCATTCCTGGCACTGCTATCATTAATACTTATGGCATTATTCTACTAGGATATGTTATCATTTATTAATTTATTTTTATACTTTAGGTGATGGACCTAAACACAAAGTATTGAAGAAACTACTGTGCCTCTATATTTTCTTTTATTAAAGTCAAACCCGCCAACTTGTTAGCACAACAAGCAACGTTCTGATAGATACTAATGAGGAGTTGCATGAGGAGTTGAATAGGCGGCCAGTCGCCGTTCAGATTTTTTCATCGCTACTTTCGTCCTGAGTAGCCTAAATGGCAATAAATCGCCTACACTGGCCACACTGTTTCCACATTTGACAGTTTACTCCTGTCAAAGGTTTTTCTTTCTTTTTTTGGCTTTTCGCGATCAGCGATGAAGCCAATCTATGACAAGATTAACCATTCAGTTGCCATGAGTTGCCACCTTAGACTATGGAAACGAAAGGACCACGAATTTACATATTTCATCATTTATTCTAAGTAAAAGTAAAAAACCGAGCACGTGAGATAGCTCCAAGTAGTGGGTCTGCCCTTGTCTAACAAGTTGCCAACGCTAAATAAAATTTTCTCTATCTCTGTCTTAGGTAGTGTCTAGCGATGGGACGAGTTGTATTTTTTTCAAGGCGAGTTGACGTGACTGCTACCACGAATTGCAACTTGAGTTACCTCGACTGCATGTACGATAGAGCGACCGCGAGTCGCGAGTACTACTCATACCAACGATTCACAGAGTTAGACACGACCAACGGGCGGCGTGACGACCGCGACTCGAGCGTGGGGGTCTACTCTCGTTCTCCGTCCGGCATCCGTCCGAAACAATTACTGTCAAATTCTTCGGCTTAAAACGGCTTCTCGGCCGCCATTTCTTTACATGTTTTAGGGTCGTATTCCAGAACTCTAATCAATGCTCAAGTCAGGACTTGAGCATACTCAAGTCTGCTAAAATCCTGACTTGAGCATTGAGTCTTGTTCTGGAATACGACCCTTAAAGCGGATTTTTGCGAATGTGTGCGTATATTTTGATGGGAGCTAGTAGTTTTCGTGAATGAAATAGAACTCGCAGATCCACCGGCTTACCTCGCGCTGATCAAAGAGGATCTAATCACTACGTTGGCGCTGATCGGTCGAGATGCATCGGGACAAGTTATTACGTGTTTAATAATGAACATTTTGAATAAATGGCATATTATGTATACGTATTATCATGCTCCTTTTAAGCGTGCTTATCAGCATGGTTTTTATCGTGCTACTAAAGAGCATATGAACCTGTAATTCTTTTTTACATGAAATATACATATAAGTGCGCATTTGACCTCCATCTCATCGTCACTCGACGATGGACCGTGCACACCTAAATAATGCCTATTCACTCTCGCCTTGATTTCTATTTTTCACGATAATCGGATTGATTCAATTTATCGATGACATAGAAAATGTTTCGAGTCATTCGAACATTTTGCAAATATTGAATAATCGATCGAAAATTTAATTATTACAATTATTCTTCGCTCAATAATGAAGTTTACGGTCCAGAGAGTTTTTAATTAACAAACGTCAAATTGTGACATAAAATGTGAAAAAATAATTAACGCGAATCCCTACGGAACTATCTACTATGCTGGAAAATTGTCAATAATGACGATATTGATAAAATTATTAAGTGTGAAGCAGTCAAAAATAAACCAATGTAGCTGTTACTAGCCGAGCTGCCATTGTATTTCTTTTTTGTATGAATACACCCCACACTAATAAATTATTTCATTTGACACTCTCACACATCGAAATCAGCCAAAACAAAAGGGGATTCCCAGCAAATCCGGGGGATTTTATTTTGCCTCCGGGTGTATTTCCGGGTGGAAATTGTCTTCTATTTTATGGTTTATGACTAGTCGCACAATGTACAATATTTTGTCAATATTTTATGTTTACTGCTTACTAAAAAGAGAAATCGTTTGCATTTACCGAACGTGGTGACTTGCGGCTGTTCTTGAGTAAATTGGAACCTGATATCAACAAACTTATTAAACAGAATCAGATTCATCCTTCACATTAGTTTTTATATTAGAATCGATTATGTTTGTTTTATTTTGAATAAAAGATACATTGTCTGAATACTATAACGTTGCGTTTCAACATACTCGATGCGTTTCAACATTTTAATAATCATTCTCATTGGCAGGTGTAGCCCGTAAGAGTTAACTTGAGAACTGAGCGCCGTTGTGTACTACCTACTGCGCTCAGGTCTCAAGTTAACTCTTGCGGATTATAGTAAAAGTTTCGTTTAGAATGAATGTTTAATCTCCGCTAATATAGCTCGCAATAATTAATTTAATTTGAAGTTATAGTGGT